GAAACTTACGACAACCGACGGTGACTGATGATTTGAGTTGTCGCAGTTTCTCTTCATATATTGATCCCAGATCATAAGTTTGACTTATCACATTTTCAGGAATGAACCTGGAATTGAAACTTCTGGATGTTTTATGATTTTGCACAGAATCTTGGACGTGGAGATGGTGCCTCTGTTTGATTTGCTGACAGTTGGACATTTGAAAGATTGAATAGATACTTGTTTGGATTGCTTGGGAATGGACGTCCATCATCACTAGTCGACTTCAGGTTCATAAATAAGGCTGACTTAATCTTACTACATCGTCTGTCCCCCAAAGCTCTATCTTGGAACACTCGGTCGAATTTAGACACCAAGCTAACTAACCAACAGGCCAACTTTGAAGTCGTCTACAGAATAGGCGGGAATCTTGTAAAAAAGAGTACGAATCAAACTTCTTCAAACCTCAGAAGAAATGCTAGTTCACAGTCTGAATCCCGAACTCCGACCACAGAAGAAGTTTATTAAGTCGCTGAATCTACAATGGACCTGATCTATCCTAATATCGGAGATGTATGTTTTGTTTTAGTTTTTAAATCGTATGATTTTCTTTCCTGATCGCCTAATCAATTTCTACTTCTAATTTCCGTTGTTAACTTGACTCGCGTCCAATTTTAGTTAGTTCCTACTCAATGCTGACAAGTGTATTGCGTCACTCAATTAATGCAATAAATTTTACTTCAATTCCTACTCGATTAACGTATTCTATATCACGTCACTTGTTGTCTAAAACTGGGAATTCATATGACACATTTGAAATATTTCTTTTGTTGCTCAGCAATTTGCTGGATAGATGCGACTATACAGCTTGACAGTGATATTACTGAGAAAAGAATAAATTGAGCAACAATGACGAATGGGTTGAATACATGAATTCATAACCAGTAAAATTAGAAACTGAATGATAACAGATTGTCTCAACTTTCTCAAGCAAAACTTGGGACGAAGTATCTATTTGGAAGTTAACGTGATGTAGGAAGATCGGGAAAGGTATAATCTACGCAACTGGACATTCGATGTAGTTTAAACTTCACTGGCACATACATGTGATACGAGAATCATCCCAATGAACCAATTCATGTTTTTTCACGTTTATGTCTGAAAGTGAAATTAACAATCTGATATTTGGAGGGATTTAAATTGAGACAATTTAATAGGCATCACTGACGAATTCCTGATGAAAAGCCATTCATTTTGGAGCAATCTGATTAACATTTCGTTGGCATAGAAATAACCAGATCTTCGGAATACCTAACAAAATTGGATTCACCAGAATGAGTCAAGCACTTTGAGGGACATTGGCTAGACCAAGTAAAGCAGTGGATTAATAAAAGAAGCAGGCTTGTTTAACAAAAGAAGACAGATGTGTAATCAATGAAAGCCCACTGAACATATTTAGGATTTCTGTCTAAGTTGAAGACAATATTATGATGCTAGACAATACTACCACCTGAATTACATCTATCATGTTTATAGGCAAATTGTTTGGAGTGGTTAAATCTACTAATAGTGTAATTAGTTTGATCCTCAAAGTGAGGTGACTGTGAAATGAGAAATTTGTCTGTCTTCATTGTGTTTCATCGCATATTAGGTAACTGTGATATTGATAGTGCTTATTGTTTACAATGCAAATGCATTTAAACATAGTTAGGACTATTCTTCTCATATGGAATAATGAATGGTCTACTATTTCTTCCATATTAGTTTTTTATTAGATGTATCACACAGTGAAAGAGTATTATTTACTGAATGACAAAGTTTCCAACAAAATTTATTCTTCATAATCATATCAATTGTAATCACACGACTTTGAAACTTGAGTTTTATAGTTTTCTTTGTTCTTTCCTATTTGTCATCGTAGGGGTAGTAGAACTTACCAGATATCTGGGATAGGTGTTGAATCATTCCTATTACACGTATTTGCAGTTGATTCGATAAACAAAGCTTCTGTTATCAATCTCTCCCTCCACCCTGTGATATTAGATTTTAAAACTGTCATCCTATCCCATCCATCCTATTGTATGGTTGTGTGTAACTGCATGTAGTGGGTGCTATAGCTGAACTATTCTCTAGATTTTTTATCTTATTCGGGTCAACCAATCTAGATTTTGCTAGGTTTTTATGTTCAGCTAGTCTGACTGCTCCTGTTCTACTAGTTTGACCTATGTATTTGACCTGACAATCACTGAGGCAGGGTATGAGATAAACTAAATTGTTTTGTTTTAAAGGCTCCACAGGATCCTTTAACCGACAAAGCTTGTTTCTAATTGAGTTTGTGGGTTTGAATGCCACTTTTATTCCTGCCTTGCTAAGAGTTCTGCGTAAGGCTTCCGAGGTTCCTTCCTTGTATGGAATTACTACTGATGATTTAGATTCCTTATTGTTGGTGTTGTCTTGCTCATGTCATCATTAATATCAATATTATTATTATCATTATTATTATGGCTATCACTACTATCATTATTTATTTTATTTTACATTTCCCTACATACTTTCTGACTAATTTATCAGGTTAATTATTAAGTTTTAAGGCTTCTCTTATATATCTCACTTCCTGTCTTAGATTTTCCTTGATACTACTTAGTTTTTGTGCTTTGTCACTTAAGCATTTCAGCAATCCTATTTTTACTGACATAGGATGGGATGATCGGAAGTCCAAATATCTGTTTGAATGTGTGGGTTTCCTGTAAACACTAGCATTTAAATTCCCATCCTCTTTCCTTCTTACGTTGCAATCTAACATTGGGAGCTCCCCTTCCTGATTTTCCAATTCATAAGTGAATTGAATTGCTTCAACCTTCGATTTGATGTGCTCGAAAAACCTATCTATATCTTGTGTTTTAAGTACAGTGAATGCATACCTCCACCATACTTTTGAGGAGGGGCTGAACGTTATATTCGCTAGGCTTTTCCCACCTATCCATGAATATATCCGCTACAACCGGGGATATTGGTGACCCCATAGCAACACCCTCAGTTTGTTTGTATATGTTCCCTTGAAATTTAAATACTGTGGAAGTCAGGCACAGCTGTACTCCCAGCATTATGTCCTCAAGTGGCGCTTTCGTCCTTATTTCAAGTTCCTGGTCAGAAATGAGTTCATTTCTGACTGCCTCCATAGCCATATTTATTGGTATACGTGTGTATAAACTGACAATGTCAAAACTAACCATTTTCTCTTCATTATCTAATTTTAAATTATCTAATCTATGTTTGAGTTCATAAGAATTAGTTAGTCTAGATTTTGAGTGGATTTTAAAGGGATTTAATACCATGGCTAAATATTTAGATAATTCATAAGTAGGTGAATTTCTAAAATTAACTATAGGCCTAATAGGGTATCCTGACTTATGAACTTTAACAACACCATATCCTACTGGGGTTTTTAGTTTTGGGCATTAAATTAAACCACTTAGACTCACCTAGAAACGGCTTCATTCGGCGTATAAGGTCCGCTGTGGATTTCTTAACTTTATTCATAACTGTATCTATTGATTTATTAATTTCCTCATATGGTCCTGTTTGTATGTGAGTATTTACCTTGTCAAATAGTCAGTCTGATTTGTCTAATACTACTGTTGCATTTTCTTTGTCTGACTTTGTGATAACTATATCCTTGTTATTCTTAAGGTGTTTCAGGGCTTCTATCTCTTGTTTTGTCAGGTTGGGTTTTCCACATTTTTGTCGTTTTAATGTCAGTGCACACTGTGCTCGTATTTCATCAGCCGTGGTTTGTCTATCCCACTTAGTGCTATTTCTATTTTAGGGATGACATCCTCAGGTTTCAGCTTGTCTACTGATACATTGAAATTTAGTCCCTTTTCTAATACACTTATTTCCGTAGGACTTAATGTATGTGCTAAGAGATTGATAACCCACTTTGTTTTATCGATCACCGTTGACTTTGGATTGTTGACTTCGTCGTTCTGAGATGGAGATTTCTCCTCTAATAATTTATTGAACTTTTTGATTTGATTATTTTTTGACTTTTTGAAAGTTGCTGATTTGGCATTGCTAGAGGACTGTGTTATAAGATCATAATCTACATTGGTAACTATTCCCATTAGCTTTTGCTTTAATTGCTCAATTTCATATCTGATATGTTGCAACTTTTTAACGATTCTGTGGATCTCTTCTTTTAGGCATAAATTTTGTAGGCTTTCTATTCTGCTTCTAACTCTGTCCGTTGGAACTGGAGCTCGTAGACGTAGATATTTAGGAATGATTTCATTTTTTAGGTATCGAATGTTGAAAATACGATGATTTTCATATCTTGCTTCAGGTCTACTATTTCTACATTAAACTGCACTCTGGCTTGCTCATATGTGCTTTGCATTGAATGAAATAGTGGAAGCTACTGTCCAACCATGTAGAAGCACACTTATCTAGTGAGAAATGAAGTATAACTCTTTATCGGTGTCCAACAGTCTGTACGTTCTTTAAAAAGACCAGGTATTTAGAATATCTGCATAAACACGAGTTTGTCTAGAACTCGCAGTAACACCGCCAGCGTGGTCAATGAAGTATGCTACTGCGAAGCCAAACTACCTCAGTTCATAAACAGTTGGAGACTACATAACTTTCCATTGTTTGGTTGATTTTTACAGCATGTAAGCGAATAGATTTCTTCGTGTCATTTTTTTCTAACTAGAAAATAAGTCTGACGCAGTGATCATCTCTACAGCCACAACATCTACATGGTTAATCGCTGACCTCATAAAATGGGAGTGCTATAGACTTAGTAGAGTGACATTCTACCAAGATGGGAATATGTCTGAGATTGTTTTACTCCCCATAAACACCCATTGGTTAATTAACTTCACCCACACGAATAACAAAATACATTCGCCAAATCATACAGCACGATCACATGCAGACACACGCAGACTCAAATAGAAAACACATACGACAAGATGGATATAAATACGCGTTAAAACAACATGAAGAAAACTTTAACGGAAAACTAGCATCATGTTAATTGCTCTCTTGATTAACCTCATATTTCTCATAGTTTCAGACAACGGTGTCAATGCCTTAGTACCGAGACCACGCAAACACATAGAAGGAAATGCACTTTGCAGCATAGCTGAATCCCTCTTCATTGAACATACTTATCCAAAATGTTTTATTCTGATTGACGCCCTGAAAGTGTTCAATGAACGTCTCCTCATGAGGCGTCAACTATACTCATATAATGAAAGCGAAACTCTCCATATCAACACAATGAAAATTGTGATTAGAGACGGTTGTGATGAGTCAGAGAATAAATTGTGGCCAAGTGAATACATGGATGAATCACGTGAGTTCACTTCAACTCTCACTAATTTGCATACATAATCAACCAATTAACCACTGTAGACAAAATCAGCATATTCGATGAGAAGATTGAAATTGAATGTAATGAAGTTTGGGGAGCATTGCACGCATTGCAGAGCATCATACAACTGGTTCACAGAAGTAAATCGGGGTCTGTAAGTCAAATGTGATTTCACTGATAACCTCATGATCATTAACACCTTGTTTATTCATTCAACTAGCTTGTAATGTATGAACGCATTATCGAGGATGCACCAAGATTCATTCACAGAGGATTTCTCGTTGACACTGCCAGACATTATATCAGTGTTGATGAGATTTTGAAGTTTATTGTGAGTTTCTCCTCCTCTTTTATTTCTAATTCACACATTTTAAGGATGCAATGGCGGTTGTGAAAATGAATGTATTTCATTGGCATATGACGGATGACAGTTCATTCCCCTATGTGTCATCCACATATCCTCGACTTTCCCTAAAGGTAGTCTGTCCTTCTTATTTCTTCGATTCACTTCTCTCTATCTCTCTCCACATAGGGTGCCTACCATCCACGGAAGTTGGTTTATGAGAATGCAGATGTTGTTCGTGTGATAGAGTATGCCCGTCTACATGGGATACGTGTGATGGTAGAATTTGATACCCCGAGTAAGTGGCATCTTTTTCAGACTGATCACATCTCACTACTGTATTTTCGATGTTCAATATTTCCAATGGAATGCTTACATTCTCTTTATCATTGAAGTGTAGATGACACTTTTGCCTTCCTCATGATTGCAGGTCACACGAAGTCATGGGAAAAAAGTTATCCTGGAATGCGGACAGAATGTTCTCCTGGAAGTCAGTTAGGCCCATTCAACCCTGCACGTGAGAACAACTTTGAAATTTTGAAAGCGTTTTTCAGAGAAGTGACGTCAGTATTCCCAGAACCATTCATCCATCTGGGTGGTAAGGAGGTTTCATTCGATTGCTGGTAAGATTTCTCTTTATCTATTGTAAATTGAATGTTAAAAATGAGATAAGTTCAATGGTACACTTGAACAAAGCTTTCAAGATATCCACGGTTTCCTTGATAGCTAGAATGGCTATGGTTTCACAGTTGTTGACGACGCATTTATTGAAATATGAATTTGTGATCATTTGTTTGTATCCGAGTGAGTCGAGGTTATCGTCACCCTGAGTATGGTAAATTTATGAAATATGATGCGTGTGCGCATTTGACTATCACTCGTTATTCAAGAATGCAAAAACAATGGTACAAATAAGGGATTAGTATTATTATGATGTCGAATAAGATGCTTTACAGAGATGAAAGTAGTGTACATGTTCTAATTTTGAGTGTTACCACCATTCAAATTTCAAATAATCGCACTCGGTATTAAATCATTGCATTAAAAATAGTCAACATGCCTGATTGTTTCTGAGAACGTGAAGTTGTCTGCGTAAAGTGTCTATTAGGTTATTGATATTACTAGTAATTATTACTCAGAATATGCCACTCACGCCTTCTAGGGTGAAGGATGCAGGTTTATTTCTGAATTCAAGTAGTATCTTACGAATCAGTGGACTGTTAAATACCTTTAAACAATAGGAAACTCAGAGCGCATCAGGGAGGTTGACTCCAATTTAAAACATTTTGATCTTAATTAGTCTCAGTCAGACCTCGGAATATGAGATTCCCTAATATCACCGCACCGATTAAAATTTCACATTCACTAGAAACCCTATTTTCATGACTACACTTCTATGAACTGTGAAATTCAGTCTCACTTCGTCACAATCAAAACTGTTGAGCAGGTTGCCTTCCAGGAGTCTCATAACATGAGCTGAACTAATATGAAACTGAACATCTTATTTGTCTAAGATCTGTGAAATCAATGATTGTTTCCTTCCTTTATGCTGTCACGATATATTTCATGAATTATTATCATTTCTTGAGTTCCTGATAGAAGTGATGGCATATATCCATCGTGATATGTTGTCTGCAATCACATTCAACTGACTCTCGGACTGCCCACAATGTTTCACTCCCCCTTAATGTGAACTTCATGGTTTCACTTTTGGAACCAAGCCCATAGCTCTCCATTACAGTTTCAAATGAATGCCCGGGGCGTGACTTCACTCAGAGAATTTCTAGTCCACATCCATTTAATTCTGCCCATTATTCCAGCACCAGATTTCCCCCAAATTCGCTACGTCGGTTTTTCCTGTTCTTTTTGACTTTTTCTGAACACCGGACCTTCATTCAATTCACTACTAATGATAGTCCACAAGGAATAGATTTCTGTGATTCATCAGGTCTCTGAAATATGTTGAGGCTGTGAGTTCATATTCCTGTTGAAAATTCGAATCTTGCTCCTCGGATAAATTCTGTGAACCTGCACACTGACACCAAGTAGTAAAGCCCTTTTTCGCTTCCCCGATCTTGGCTAGCTTTGACATAGTCATTGTTGATAGCTGACAGTTGAGATGAAAGACAACATAAGCACTACCAAATGAGTTCATGTTACTATTTACAGCTGCCCCCCCCCAGTATCATGCAATTTTCGGTACAAATATTATTAATACAATCCATGAAACCCATTAGTCTAATATTCTCTAAAATATATCAAATTGTTTCCGCTTAAAATAGGAAATCTAATACTGGAATTTCGAATTTCATGAAGCAGAAGGAATTTGGTGATGACTACGGGAAACTTGAATCGTATTACTTTGACCGACTAATTGAAGCTATTCAATCAGTTCAACCAGAGGGATACGCGATTACACCAGTGGTCTCGCATGAAGTATTTCAGAACGGTTACCGTGTAAGTGAATCCTTTTCCTTTTTCGAATGAAACACCTCTCGTGAATAGCTGGAATCTGTAGAGTGTCACCTGTATCGATCGAGTACGTTTTCATGCAGACAGTTTTTTCTGTATGTTTTTTCACATTGGCCGCATTAGTTTCATCAGAAAGGTTAAATTTGGTAGATTCATGTAATGCAGGTGAACTTAGTATTCGTTTTTGTGTATTAAATTCAGTTTCCAAACTTCAGGGTTACTTTCGCCTCAACAGACGAGCAGTATTCTCCAGTTTCTTGATTCACGGTGATCACTGTCACGTACTTCGTCAAGGTTAATTCAGAACAGCATCAAATGTCCTCCTCTACATCTAATAGTGTATAGTTCATGCATTTGAGACTTTCCTTAACGTCTATTATATTTCAATGTATACTCAGAAGAAAGATAATCACGATGTCTGTTTGATGAGATTCATCAGTCGCTTCCAAGGAAAGCGGTATAAAGTAAACTCGAAAGTAAAATGTTTGTGTTTCTGTGAGTAAGATCTACTTAACTGTGATCTGTCATCTTGAAGTCACCTTCAGGTATACACGTAATGTTTTTCATCAGATCATTGGAATCAGATTAGACTGCTCAATTTCCAGACTCATAACATATCAATTTATGCGTTTAATTTATGCGTTTACTTGCTCTTGTGGAGCTGATTACATCGGCCGTACCATGCGCCGACTTGGAAAACGCTCTCGCGAACACCACCCAGCCTGGCTAGTAAAAGGAGACCGAAAACGTGTATACAGTTCAGTTACAGAACATCTGGTCAACTCAGGACATTCAGCGCCTTTCAAGAAATCCTTCAAAGTAATACACAAAATTCAATCAAACCTATCAAAGGGAATCAAATCAAGACATCTGGGCATAGCTGAGGCGCTAGCTATCCAAAAGCTCAAACCCACACTTTGTATCCAAAAGAATTACGTCCAACCCCTCTCCCTACCATGGCCATCATAAACAGGTAAAATTTTTTAGTAATGACAATCTCATCGCCTTTCTTATCTAAACTTCCTGTTTATTCATGTTATTTTAAGTTTTCTTAAACCCTGTTTACACTACCATATTTTCATACCCACTCTTCCTGTTTATTTTGTCATTTTACTATTTCTACATATTTAATCCCTGATTGCATAAACAATTATTCATCATATTAGTTTTTTATCCAAACATCCTGTATATTTTGTTATTTCTACATTTCTAACCCCCAATTGCACAATGTCAATCTTCTTAGTTATTATGCTACTTTGTTTGAGTTTTACCCATCCCCCCTGTTTGTTATGTCATTTTAATTCCTAATTGTAATTTTTTATTAATTTGACCCCTAACCAGAAATTATTCTGGAACTTTCCTATCCATTTGATATAAATACACGAATGTACAGCCTAGATGATGACTTCGTCGAAAAGAAAATTTTCTTCGCTGCAATTGTCTTTTTATTAACTCCTATGACCCAATGTGCATATTCCGCGTTTAATAATCCCTAAATGTACCTTTATCCATTCAGCCGAATAAAACCACTGTGATGAACGTCTGGCAGGGCAAAAATTGGGCGAATATTGTTAAATCTATAACGTCAGCTGGTTATCGAGTTATAGTTTCGGCATGTTGGCAAATCTCTCTTGCAAATCATGCAACTCGATGGTATGGTTATCATAAATGTGATATTGGAGCATTTGGAGGTGAGTAACATACTTGAGTATAAATGTTGCTCACCGAATTGCCCACACACATTGATTTCATGTTTTTTCATTTGACTGATTAGGGTTTTGATTTGATTTCTGTAAGTTTCACTGTGGATGTGATCAAGCGGTGAATGATACGCCATGTAGCACTGTATATATGAAATTACCCATGAGTATTGAACATCCTATAGATAATACGCCTAGTACGTCGGTGGCATAGTGGTTAGGACTCTTGCCGACCATGCACATGGTCCGGGGTTCGATCCCCTGCCGACACACACCCGATATCTATGGTCGGCCTGTGAAATTCGGGCTACCGATATCCATGCTGAAAGTTCCATGCTTGTACTGAAAATACGGCGTGGCATCAAGGTGTAATCAAAATCAAAAATAAAAAATAAAAAAAGTAGATCCGTAAGGCATAGTGGACTAAGAAACATGATTTCATCTATGTGAATCATTATCTAGTGGCTTCGATTGTGACTTTATGACGTTCACTATGGGAGTAGACATAAATTCACTTCCCAGATGAGGCAGATAACGGCGATACTTTTTCATTTCCCACACACCAGCGTTAATGGGTGTATTCTCTGTAGGAAATGGATGGTCGACTCAGTGTTTTCATAAACAAAAACGAAATTGCAACCCTACTCCAGCATCTGAGCTACATATTTCGCTAGGACTGACATTTTGGATGATGAAATAGGCTTAAACGAAGGCCAATAAATGGGATCGGATACATAGTAACTTTATGTAAGTTCCTATGGTGTGAGTATATAAAGAGAAACGATGAGGAGCAGTAGAGAAGAAACGTTTTTATCTGCCTTTATGAGTAATAAGTTAGCCAAGTTTTTGGTGCTGAAACTCACATAAATGAAAGTTTAAAACCAATTTTTGCAGATAGTGCACCCTGTGTCGTTCCTATGGTCTGAGAGAAAAGCTATCGTAGCTGACCACTTTAATGTAAATTTGCAAATTTAGCTGATATTGTGAGGAAAGTTTCATTGTGACAACGGTCCAACAGCCCTATCTTCAACTTCTTGAGGTTTGTATGCTCTCGGTTGTCAAACAAATCCTGGGAAGTTGCCATCAACACTTTTCAACACAATGTATGTGTTCAGAAACACTTTGTGTAGACACTGTCCCCGTCACGACTGTCACCGCAACCCATTGGTACACTTACTTCTACGAATCACATTGTCATCAAATGTTTGTGCTGAATAATTTCACCAATTTTTCAAGTTGTTGTCTCTAACCAAACTGTGAATCAGTCTTTATTGGAATATCAGCGATTTCAAATTTATTTAGTTTCAAAAAGAGATAATTTTGTAGGGGCTATGAGTATTTAGTCACAACCTGGAACTTTCTCGAAACCTTGTCACAAATCAGTTATCACAGAACTCTGATAGTAAGTAGTTCACACATGTTCTTTCCTTCAACGGTCTTAATTGACAATGAGCCTGTATAAATAACGTCCTTACATCCTACTCGCAAATTTACCCTTCGTATTTTTTGCCTAACTGCTTCAGGCACCGAAGAAGAGCAGAAATTGGTGATTGGTGGAGAAGCCTCTGTATATGGAGAATATGTGGACAGTTCAAATCTCTTCACGAGCTCATGGTGAGTTGTTCTATCTACCGATCTATAAGGTGCATGGAAACACCTCAGCATACATGTGAATAACATTTGTGAGGACTGAAGATGTTTTTCAGATAGTGAAGATATTTTTTACTGTTGGTAGCATATAATTAAGTTTGGCGTGTTTGGGGAAATGACTGGGATTATTATCGATTGATGTATTTGTGGTTGTGACTGTTTCTTATACAGAGACTGTGGCTACAACGAGCTCATGGTTTGGTACTCAAATGTGATCACATTCGGTCGGTTGTCACTAGTAATGAAACTTGACTGGAGTGTCGTTTATACGCATTTACAATTGCAATATATGAAATAATGTTAATGCAATATAAGTGTAGCTACGATTTGATATAAGCTTAGCAAAGTTGAGACTACCAATGTTGGTATTTGGGAGATTGTTCAACGCTTTGTTTGACTCATCTTGTTAAACATCCTTATCGTGTTGACTACTTCGGTCACAAAACACTGACTAATTTTTACACACACTTCTATCCTACCATACTTTACTCAACAGCTTGAATTAGCATGAAACCGTTATCTGAAATCACTGTAAGCATTCTAGTTAACCTTAACCAGACTGAATTCAGCCATGTTAATATCAATATTATGAAATATATTGATCGAGTGGAATGCATATATATCCAAATTCAGTTTCGTTCAATTGCTGCAAAAGTTTTCGACTTTATTGCGGTCTGATTCGTTCGATCCACTTGAGATCATGATGATGAAGAGAGTCTCAATGAATCAGATTTGGGGAACAAAGCTGATGAGCTTCATTGATTACGTTTAGATTTGTGAAAACACATTCAAATATTCTTTGGAAGATACAGGGTGAGATGTTCTGACTAATGCCACGAATAGACATACGCACACTGAGCAACCTAATCGTGGTAACTCAGCAGGCAAAGCATAAGGCGTCAATCCTATTTCTGCGTTTTCTGAGTTTATCTGTGCAGATCCTACACTGGGGAATATGTGAAAGTCTTTACCTTGATAGAGATCACGTTTCTATGTTAGTTGCAATGAATACCATGTGTTTATCCATCTACTCAGTCTGAATAAAACAGGAAGTCAAGTGAGAGCCTGAATCGCTCACCAACAACGTCTCTGATGACTGCAGCACTGGATGAAACCGGTCATAATCTCAGAAGAGACAAGAGTTCCTCTAGGATTTCAGAAATGCCTTACTGACTGGTGAATATCAACAAGCATGAAACTTAGGTACGAGTCATCTTGACGATTGCCTCCAACCATCCAGTATCACTAGGACTGGCTTCTGATAGAGACAGTATAATTTACTCTTCGTACTATTCATGTCATGATAGTCAGTTATTGATCAATACGAACCTTTTTACGTGAATTCTTAGAAATTTTGGAATTCAAGTCGAAAATATTTTATCTACGCTAGTCACATAATTGCAAGTATTTATTCACCTTATTGCAGATTACTGGCACTTTTAAAACTCCTTTTTCTCACGTTATTTATTAATGCTCATTAGGCTTGAGGGTGCAGTCATAGCCGATCGTCTGTGGTCACATGATCAATCCACCATTGCTGAAATGAAACCCAGATTGGCTGAACTACGTTGTCATATGAGAGAGTAAGTTCATACTTTACTGACCTCGTGAAGATATTCTCATATTCCGTTCACTGTGTAAGCTATGCTCAGTCATTTCAAAAGATTAATTGATATGATTGAATGTGTGGTAATAATTGTTAACTCTTTGACAATACTTCAAATACTGCTAGTAGCGTAGTGAATATTGAAAGACGTGACAGAAAAACAAGGTGAAATTGATTCGAATGACAGTGAATGAAGGAATTAAATTCTACATCAACTGTAAAATGCATCCTTCAAGGAGTGTTGAAGAGGGCTGTTTGTTAGTTGTGTAAACCAACTCAGCATCTGGAACTTTCATGAAACAACAGATGTTGCTAACTCCAAAACTTGAGCATCTGTTGGTGCTTAATATACTTGAAATCAAAGTTGGCTATAAAACGTGCCCGCGGAAATATTCAGTTTGAGGTATTTAGTTCATAAGTTTCTCCTCAGGCATGTGGAATCGAAAGTTACCAAGACGCATAATTCTGTTTGATAAATTCACGGAAATACAGTGCTTTCAGTTGATGTATAATTGCTAGTAGTTGTCGAGTGGTTGCGCTTTCGATCAACATGGGTATCTGTATGTGTGAACTAGAGGGTACACTTCTCTATAGTTCCCATGTACTCCCTTTCCTGCCTTCATGTACCTGAATAACAATTCAGTATCTGACATCTTTTATCCACTCATACAAAACGCCGTTAATGTTAGTCTTCACCTAACCACGGTTTATTAGGGTGGACATTCAACTTTTAATGGCGTGTGAAATTTAAGTTCTGTAGAATATATAGTCTTACAGTCAACACCCACTTATTTCAATTTTATGAAGCAGATTTCATAACCAAATATTTGAAAATAATAAAATTTGAGTCTTAATGGGAATTAGTTCAACTGCCTTAAGAGTCCAGCTAAAAATCCAAGATAATTGCACCGCTGAAACCTTTTCGGCAACCATTCACTACACCTTTCCGTTTCTTTTGTGTATACAGCTTAGGATTCAAAGTGAAACCGATAAATGAACCGAAGAATTGTTTACAACCATAAGAATGTGCATTTCCATCAACTAGACGCCGATGGGACACTCATTGTTTTTTACTCAACATTATAGATTTAATAAAATACAGTTTTAAATTGTCTTCCTTCTGTGTACAACTTAACAGAATGTTCAACTATGACTGATGCTTCTCCCCCACAACTATTAAACACCGAAATTATAAGTTAAGTGGAAGGACACAATGTTGACTTCTATCTGATTTGGAGATAGATTTCCAACATTAGGATCTGAAAGAAGAATTCTCGTTATTGCATTTCGGAAAAGTATCAGCATTGATGAATAATTTAGGTATTGTAACTCAACAAATACTTAGTAATAATAAGAAAATCTTTATTCTGGACAGTATTTATACAATGTACAGAATATTCAGAGGAGTTTATTACATGATATTTTCCCTTTGTACAGTATCTTCAAGTAAAATATTAATTAACAGTGTACCCTGTGACACGGTGCTCTCTGAGCTGAAGCAAAAACTATTCCATTGTGATATATCTGCTTTGTCTCCTTCAGAAATCCACGATATCTAGTTAAAAACCAATTGTAAGATGTTCAGAAGTAAATTTTGAGACCGAAGGACATAACTGAAGAACAGTTATCTCATGTTGCCACCAACAAACAGGCCTTTCTTCAAGTTTAGTAGGAAATTGTGAATCAGATGCTTGTAAACATTTTACATACACATAAGAGTAGATAATACCATTAGAGGTCATACCTTAATCGATTAAAACAAACCGAAGGAGAGAAAATATATCCAACAGAGAGATGACAACGGGAAACTTATGGAATCCTTCGAAGTGAGGACGGGAGTAAGACATGGCTGCCTACCATCGCCAATGATTTTCCTGATTGCAGTAGAGTGGATAATGCGACAAACAGCGGGCAATGAGGAAACAGGCATAAAATGGACTCACACAAAAAACTTGGAGGATCTGGACTTCGCCGATGATATATGTCTGATTTCCCACAGACTGGAAGATATGCAAGCGAAAAGCAACAAGTTGGCAGAAGAAGCATCAAAGATAGGACTTCAGGTGAACATAGAGAAAACAGAGATAATGAAGTTTTCTGAACAAGAACAACAACAACAGACAACGATCAACATAAATGGGAGGAACCTGAAAGAAACAACCTCCTTTACCAACCTACTTGTGAAGCATCGTTTCAACTACAGGCGGACAGAACTGACGAGGATATCAAAGCAAGAATCGGGAAAGCAAGACAAGCTTTCACTACTCTCAAGCCTGTGTGGACGTCAACAGCACTCAGCATCAAAAATAACATCCGGATTTTCAACTCCAATATGAAGTCAGTCCCACTATACGGATCAAAGACTTGGCGTGTCATAAAGAGCATCTCAAACAAACTACAGACCTTCATTAACAGTTGTCTTCGCTCAATACATCGCTCAAGATCAGATGGCCAGTCAGAAAAGATCAGCAACAGAGATCTCTGGCAATGAGCGAACCAACCCAGCAGGAACCGATTGTGAAACAAATAGGCAGGAAGAAATGGAGATGGATTGGCTGGCCATACTCTGAGGAAACAAACCATCAAGTGACATCACTAGACAAGCCATTGCTCGATTGGAACCGGGCGGAAAGGGAAGCGACGAGTTGGTCGTCCAAGGGTGACTTGGAGGAGATGAGAACGTGTGGGCAGACTTGGAGCCAGGTCAAGACTAGCAGAGAATAGAACGCAATGGAGACGCACGGCTGAAGCCCTATGTTCCTCTAGGAATTAAAGGAAACAATAATATAATAATAATAATAAGAGAGATGACCAAGTTGTTGGTTGCCCACGTTTTATGCAGGCCGCCATTTTACTCCTATTAGGAAGAGAATTCGAGTAAATGTCCGCGTTATGACAATAACAATAGTAATAAGAATCTATTTGTTGAATAGAAACAAGCCATTCTTACAGGCAGCAGCGCGTGAATACTGCTTTTAATTGATAGGAAATGTGATATGAATTGTTTCTACAGATTTAGATTGAACACGCGTTTAAATAACAGAAATACTGAAAAGTGTACAAATAACTAGATAAACAGTTTGTGAAATTTGCCTTTAATCGAATAAGTTATGAGATATTGGGTTAAATTAAAATTTCAAGGTTTAATATACCTATCGCATGTCAATTTCAGGCGGTAAATATAGAAGATTGCGTTATTAGAAGGTGAGAGGCAGTTTGATACACAAGTGCTAAAGTGAAATATTGAGGATAAATTTGCAATCATTATCAGTTTATGAGGTATAAACTGTTCGAAAATTCATAGAATTCTACAGCCACTGGGATGTACAGCATTATTGTGACGTCAGCAGTTATACGAGAGTAGCTGTGAACTGATCAAACGATTTTACGACAGAGGCTGTTCTGATCTTTGTCAGCTGTTCTAACAGTATTCTGAGTAAATGCTAAATGTAGGTTCTAGTGTTTTCACCAACTGACGCTCATCCATCCTTTAACATTGAAGCGTCTATTTGTAATGCACTGAATAAATGCAAGAACATATTTCGAAAGATCACATTCAAACTAATTCATTATAGGGCTCCTGTCAAGTCAAAATCAACAAGTAATTGCCATTCTCTGACAAAACGAAGGATTACGGATTCTCTTTATCCTCGTTGGACTGAAAATAGAGCACGGACTTGATTCTCATGTGAATCACGACTGACTCCATAATAGTTTGTTTATTAGATGTATCACACAGTGAAACAGTATTATTTACTAGATGACGTTTTGAACAAAATTTATTGTTCATAATCATATCAATTGTAATCGCACGACCTTGAAACTTGAGTTTTATAGTTTTCTTTGTCCTTTCCTATTTCTCGTCATAGGAGTAGTAGAATTTTCCAGATATCTGGGACAGGTGATGAATCATTCCTATTACATGTATTTGTAGTTGATTCGATAAACAAAGCTTCTGTTATCAATCTCTCCCTCCACCCTGTGACATTAGATTTTAAAACTGTCATCCTATTCCATCCTATTGTATGGTTGTGTGTAACTGCATGTAGCGCTATAGCTGAACTGTTCTCTAGATTTCTTATCATATTCAGGTCAACCAATCTAGATTTTGCTAAGTTTTTATGTTCAGCCAGTCTGAATGCACCTGTTCTACTAGTTTCACCTATGCATTTGACCTGACAATCATTAGAGCAGGGTATTAGATAAACCAAATTGCCTTGTTTTAAAGGCTCTACAGGATCCTTTAACCGACAAAGCTTGTTTCTAATTGAGTTTTTGGGTTTGAAAGCCAGTCACTTTTATTCCTTCCTTGTTAAGAATTCTGCGTAAGGTTTCCGAGGTTCCTTCCTTGTATGGAATTACTACTGATGATTTAGATTCCTTATTGTTGGTGTCGTCATTTATGTTATTATTACTATCATTATTATTGTTATTATCACTATCATTATTTATTTTATCTTTGAATTGCTTCAATGTTCGAGCTGATGTGTTCGAAAAATCTCTGCATCTACATACCTTCGTCATACTTTTGGGGTGGGGATGAACGTTTCAATCGCCATGCTTTCCCACCTATCCATGAATATATCTGCCACAACCGGGGATATTCGTCATCACATGGCAACTCCTTCAGTTTGTTTGTATATTTTCCCTTGAAATTTAAACACTGTGGAAGTCAGACATAACTGTACTCCCAGCATTATGTCCTCAAGTGGCACTTTTGTCCTAAGTTCCAGTTCTTGGTCAGAAATGAGTTCGTTTCTGACTTCCTGTATAGCCATATTTATTGGTATTCGTGTATATAAACTGACAATGTCAAAACTAACCATTTTCTCTTCATTATCTAATTTTAAATTATCTAATCTATGTTTTAGTTCATAAGAATTTGTTAGTGTAGATTTTGAGTGGCTTTGAAGGGGATTTAATACCATGGCTAAATATTTAGATAATTCATAAGTAGGTGAATTTCTAAAATCAACCATAGGTTTAATAGAGTATCCTCACTTATGAACTTTAACAACACCATACATCCTATTGGGGTTATTAGTTTTGGGCATTAAATTAAACCACTTAGACTCACCTAGAAACGGCTTCATTCGGCGTATAAGGTCCGCTGTGGATTTCTCAACCTCATGTGTTAGTTGTTTCCTTTGTGCATTGATTATTTTAAAAGTTTGACAAATTTCCACTGTGTGTCCGATGTCGTCATTAGGTATTATCTGGCATTTGCACTTGGGAGTACTTTTCTACTTTTCATACAGAGACTTTTAGGGATATGCTCAGAAAACCTAGTAGACTCCGTAGAGTTTCACTGTGTGATATATCTAATAAACAAACTAATATTGAATTACTTACTACCACAGTGCCCAAGTTTGACACATATATTAATCACGACTGACAAACAACTCATAGAGCCTCTCTGAACAACTTGTTACCTCCGTCAAGAGATCAAAGGGATGGTGACATATTTTGCACTCATTTGAGGCTTGAGGCTTTATCACTTAATGACACCTAAGTATCTTACGAGGGTGGTAGTTCATCTTCATTAGACTTTGTGGAAGATTAATTACCAGTGGGACACCCACACACTGTCGGACAAATCAACCCAAAGCACTACTAAATCATACACATGCACATCATCACCGGTGACCGAAACCGAAGTCTGTGCTGTTGGCTTTGTTCAGTATGTCAGTACGTGTGAATTTCTCCCGAAAGAAATCCGAAATGATAATCCAAACTATAGATTTAACCACACGTAGAGTGACGCGTAAAGTCCGAAATACAGGAAATTCTGCAATACGGTACTTTATTACATGAAAATAGATATATAATATACAAACCTCAAAATTTGAGGTGTCTGTGGCTAAATGCCGTCAAATGCACAACCACTGTGCAGTCAATAAGTAAAAACAGCAATGCTGTGTCAAGGTCGATCAACGTGTCGGTTCAAACGGCCTGCGAATGCCAAGCAAAGAATAAACAAATATGAACAAACAAATTTCAACAGTAAAGCATACACTATAGGGTAAGGTCAGCAAATAATGTTTAAGGAGAAGAAAAATAAGAACTATACATTAATAGAATGATAATAGAACA